AACATGCAGTACCTGCCTATTTAATCAGGGGCACTGACCTCTTTTCCCTTAGATTGTCAAATAAACGAATGATAGCAGCCAACCAACAATAGCTGTCTGGTGTGAATGAATCAGAATTATAGTTATTTTTCTTGTCAGATCCATAAAAACTATAACATATTCTTTGGTGTGCCGCAGAATCCTAGCAATGAGTTTGTGTGTGCCAGGAGATGGGAAAGGTTGAAAATCACTGCATTCAATCTTGCCCCTCCGATGTGTGCAGATGGTCAGAACCATTCTGCAGTGGGCTCTGCTTCTGTCTGCCCAGCATCACCCTGAGTAACTGTCCTCCAGCATAGCCTGCCCCTAACCTCTAGCTCTAGTGTGAGAAAGTAACCCAAGAAAGGCTGGCCAGCATTCTTCACCCCTGTTTTATTTAGGGATAGGGATTTGGACCAAGCAGAACCAATCCAGGACTCCCTCGAGCTGCTCTAGAACTATCAGAGAAAAGACTTTGTTTTTCCCTCGAAGTGCCAGCGGTCAGAACCGAACACCTGGAGCTACTTCTGGCCATTTCTGACACCACGTGGGGAGAACCTGCCTCAAGGAGACCTCCAGGGACAGAGGCAGAGCGTTCAGGTGACCAACTCACCCAGTTTGCCTGGGACATTCTTGGTCCGAGCATTGAAAGATCCGTTCCAGGACCCACCCTCAGACCTGGACAGACAGGGATGGCTGGTCTCCCCGAGGAGAGACGACCTGACAAAAAGAGCCTTGAATATATTGTTCCAACTTTTGATCCAGCTTCATTGGAGCCCATCCTTGAGCATCTTAACTGTGTCCCAGTAGGTCCTGGTGTCTGTAAGCATTCCAGTTGCGTTTCTGTCAAAGAGTCAAAGCACATTCCCAGAGAATGTGCCCATATAAATAACACTCAAAGTTTAAAAAGCAAAAATAAATCCAAGTGGGAAACACTATTTTTAAAAGAGAAAAATGAGGAAATGTAATCACGTAATCACTTCTGAGGCTGAGATCATTTATTTGACAGAGGAGCTCTGAAAAAAAATGTATACCAAGTGGAAAGGGAGGAGAAGCAAATGAAAACATTCTTATGGAAGAAAAACATCATGGCATGAGAAAGGTCAGAGTCATGCATGAGCGAAAATTCACAAGAACAAACTTGTGTAGTGAGAGAAAAAGGAGCTGAAGCCAAATCCTGCAGCAGCTTTGCCTTTTCAATAGAGAAGGGCCGGCCCTGGAATGGGACAAGTTAGCCAACCGAACGGAGAAGAAAACGAGACCACCACCAGCTTCTGCAGGTGCTAGACAACTGGACACGACTTCAGGCAAAAATCTAAGTGGCCTCTAACGCTCTGCCCTGGGACAGGTAGGCAAAAGAAAATGCTAGAGGAATAACCAGAAAAGCCAGAGAAAAAGGGCTTTTCTTAAGGAGACATAGCAGCAGTGGTGACAAAGATTGGAGAAGTTAGAAAATGTAAGTGTGCACCAGCATTCGGGGTGAGGGCTGCTAGCGCAGCTGGGTGCTCTGTACTGTGAGTCAAAGAAATCTGTGCTCCCGGGTTTCCTTTGAGGATGCAGTTAGAGGGGTCCAGACTGTCTGTATACACGAGCCACAGAGGATGGGACGACAGCCACTCTGTCTGGCCTCCTTGAAGAAGGATGTGAGACTGGGGCTCCCAAGGAACTCTTTCTGGGCCCCCCATTTCTGTTTCTAATGCCATATGGAAAAAGCCTCAGGACTGAAAACTGAGAGGGAAGTTATTTTCTCAATAGAAAGACAACATAAAAAAAGCAGCTTGAAGGTATGCGATTTAGTGCTACTTTTATAAATATCCTTTTTATTGAGTCCCACCAATTTTAATCTGTTTTCGCTTTGTTGATATCTCATTATAGGGCACTAATCATTTTCTTTTTTTTTTTTTCTTATCCTTGTTCTATTTATCTTCAGACTCTTCAGATAGAGTGGGAGGGAGGGAGAGAGAGAGAAACATCGATGTGAGAGGGACACATCGACTGGCTGCCTCCTGCACAATCCCGACCAGGGCCAAGGACAAACTGCAACTGAGGTACATGCCCTTGGCCGGAATTGAACCTGGGACTCACTAGTCCATGGGCCGATGCTCTACCACTGAGCCAAACCGGCCAGGGCTAATTATTTTCTTAGTCATATCACTCTTGTGGGTGTTTGTGGGAACCCCATATGCCTGTGCAGGATCTTTCTAACGCACACTCTTTAATTTGGGACGTTTGGGAGAAAGAGAAGAGGAAATTTGGAGGAAGGGAAGGAGGAGCCCTCGCTGACCTGCACATTTGCAAAAAAAGAAGCTTATGCTGTATCTACTGAAGAACTTTCCCCTTAAAACATGACACTGAACGCGGGACAGATATGGCTCCAGCTTGTCTGCTAATAAAGAAGCAGATTCACACAGCAAATCTTAAATCACAAAGAATGCTCAAGCCTAACAGCTGGGGAGACTGGGTAAGGGATTGAATTCTACGTTGCCTTTGAAGATGAGGTCGCCAACACTGGGGTTAGCGTGTTCGATGTTTGTCTTCTTTAATTGCTGTCATTCAGAAAGGCCCCTCCTACAAGCAGGATGTTCTTTTGCTGTGTCCCTGACCCAAGATGTCATCCAGAGTCTAAGAGAGGAAAGCGGCAACGCCCCAGGAAATGTCACATTACCCTGAAACACTTGCCTTGCAGAATCAGACCTAGCAGCCCAGACAGGGCTGTGCTCACCTGCCTCCCTGGAGAGTCGCTCTCTTCACCGCACTGTCACCCCAACTTCCTACAAGGGGAATGGGATGCATTCGCCAGAGCTAACGGGCAACTCGGAGTCCAGACTCCCCAGCATTCCCACCTTCCTATAAACTGACAGCCGTGCTGCGCGTCTATGTGGCTCTGGCCACTGTGTCTTCTGCAAAGAGAAGCGTGTGCAGGGACAAAAGGGGTCTTGCTACCTGTGCCCCCATTTTGTAAGGGCGAGGTTTGAGCTTCCCAGAGGTTATGTGGTTTACATGGGGCCCTGCTGTTGCTGTGACAAAGCAGAAGCCAGCAGGCCACCCCGAAGACCCACGGCAAACACGGTTTTCTCTCCTCGCCTCCCTGGGCGCTGCTCTGGGCGCCGCTCTGGGTGCCCACCCTGTCTGCTTGATGAGGGCTGGGACAGGAGGAGGGGCTAAGGAAAAAGAGGGGGAGATGGAAGTTTCTTTTTTTCCCCCTTCATTTTCTTACATTGATTTGATGTTGCTAAGACTGACTTTCCTGTCAAAGTAACCACAGATGCTTAATACTCATCAAAACCCATGTTTTTCTTTCCTTAAAAAGCGACAATTCAGGCTTTGCTAAGTTACAAAATGCCTTCATGTCAGTATGACGTCTAAGGAAACACACGGCTAGAACCAAACGTGTGCAAACTTTAAGGTAACAGTGAAAACAGAAAGGAAGTAAATATTTAACTATGAAAATCAGCCTCTAAGTCCCTAATAGTCTCAAATTCTATGTCAACAATGGAAACAACAGCTAGAAGGTGAGCAGCTGGGGCCGCAGGGACAGGGAGGTCAGGAAGGGGAGCAGGCCCAGGACGAGGGCCAGCCCGGTTCCCAGGCCGTCACCCTGGGCGCAGAGCCCGCGCAGTCCTGTCCAGAGCAGGCTGGCATGTCTGTGGCCCAGCGGGCCCTGCAGCTGAGCACCTACCAGTGTCCCCAGCTTGGCAGCCGTCCAGCCACCAGAACAATGATTGCTTTTCTCTTGCCATAATAATGCTGTCGAGTTCATCAGAGATCCATTTTGTATTTCTCATCGAGTCCCTGTTTCCTTCAGAAGAAATCCTATCGTGTTTTACATAGTTTTAAAAATAGTTGATCTGCCCCATTAGTAAAAGTAGAAATGTTTTGACGAAAAAGAAGAGTTTCTCTTAGAATCTCAATATTTATCTGAAGTAAAAAACAACTATATATATACATACCTATATACACACACACATAAATATATATACATATATGTACACACACACACATTATATATATAAATTTAATCTACACCTATGATATGGTACACGCATGAGTCCACATATCCTGTCGACTGGGTCTTAGGGAGATGGCTGTGGGGCTACAGTAAAGCCTTATACTTTGCCATCCATTCACTCATCCACTCACCCATCTAATATATTTTTATTGAGCATTTACTATATGTTCCAAACATTGAAGATACAGCAGTTAACAAGCTAGAAACGGCCTGACTTCGTGGAACCAATGCAGAGGAAGCCAAGAATAAACCCACGCAAGTAAGTTAATGTGACAAATTCCAGATGGTGATAAACTCTTAAAAGGAAAAGCAGGGTGGGAGGTCAGCTCAGAGGACATCTGGCTGATAAGAAGGAGCCTGTGCCAGGCAAGGGGTAGGCAGGAGAATGGCTGAGGCAAAGGCCCCGGGGTAAGAGTGAGTCTGACAAATTTGGGAGAAAGAAAGAAGTCTAGTGGGGATTGAGAACAATAATATCTATTGTGGTATTTGTAGGCAAAGTGGAGAGAGGAAATGCAGCCACTGCATCAGTAGAGCAGATAGATCTCATTCTTGGTGTGTCTATGGAGTAAAGCAAAGAAAATAACCAAACATTCATGACCATGGAAAATTCAATCCCAAGCTTCTCTTTTTCTAAATAATGCCTCTAAATATTAGGTTATTGCATATTCTGTTTCAAAACAACAGAGAATAATTTCAGGACCTAGTCTGGCAAAGCCTATTGACTTAGAATGAATGTTATCAGTAAGATGATAAATGCAAATGAACACGATGAACTGCAAAGCAATACCACTGAAACGTATTATTTGGCCGGGCTATTGTACTGCATTATCACATAAAAAAACATCATTCTGCATTTAGAAAGAATTAGGGTGAACTCTACGTTTCAGTTTTCCTGTTCTATTCGAATAAAAAGGAGCCAGCTCCCGAGAAGCCCTTTCGAGTGCGGCATCTCCATCACGTCAAACACGGAATCTCACATACCTGGAATCCTATTGAGCGTCACCCAGAAATGTTCATCAGGACTGAAAGTGTCTTTGGACCACTGGAGCAAATCAACAGCCCGTGGGTCACGGAGCACAAAGTTGGAAAATTCTCTGGACAGAGCCACATAGGCAGAGCCAAAATAAATGGTGAGATTGTGGGGAGGAGGTGGCTTCAGCGCCGTGGTTCTTATCACATAGGAAAGCTCCTTCCCCAGATGCTCTCGGTGGACATACTTAGTCCGTCCAATTGCATGAGCTGGGGGCAGCACGCCCGGGGTAATGTTTTTCCCTTTAAATCCTTTCAGATACTGAACTATTTCCTTGTTGGTTTTCAGGGGGAAATCTTGCCCACAGGTGTTGATGGCGTACTTCCACGGGACCTCCGAGGCCACCAGGTCTTTGATGCAGTTCAGGTCAGCCTGGAGCCTGGAAATCCCTCCATAGACAACCGGCTCCGTCTTGGAAGCCAGGAAGGCGTTTGGGAAGCAGCTCAGTAACTGCTCCACAGCACCTTTAAACTCAGCTGTCGCCTTTTCGTCCACATGGACGCAGTAGACATTTTGGGGCATGTAAGTAGCTCGGAAGAGCCTTGCAAAGGTATCGAAATTGTGATGGATGACCATTATATAAGCCAAAGGAAATTCAGCCTCTTCTCTGGACAAAGGGGCCGTGATATAGTGGCCCTGGGTCAGATATTCTTTGCAAGAAGACTTCTTGTATATCATTAGTTTGTCTCTCCAGAGGAAAGGTGTTTTGCCTTTGATAAAGGATGTGCAAACTTGAGTCAGCATCAGAGTGTCCGAATTATTCTGCTTCTGGAAGCTTTGCTCTCCCCCAAAACTGAACACATAGAACACGATGAAAACGATGACACAAGAGACAGAAACTATAAAGAGGTAACGCATCGATGAAGACATGCCTCCAAGAGGAGCGAGGTTTCAAAGATGGTGAAAATCTGTAAGTCCTTTCCCCAACTTACTTTTTCCTCTGAGTTCTTATTTTGGTACATACTCCAGTAATTTCTACCCTGAAGGCGACGCTGTGAGTTTATTCAGTTTCATGCCGGGAGTCCAGCTGCTGACTCTGTCCTCATGCTGATATTAGCAACCGATCCCGCCTCGTTCTCTGCCTCTCTCAAACCGCCTTTGTCTAAATCCCAGTAGCAGGTTGCTTAAGCCCAGCCTTGCTCCCTCCTTCTGCCTCCGGGCTTGCATCTGCGAGCTGTTTCACGAAAACCCTGCTAACTGCTTTCCCCTGCAGATTTAGTTTCTCAGGTCTCCTTCCTTTCATTTCCCATTCCCCCGCCTTCCCTCCCCCACCCCTTGTTATTGCCCATCGGTGAATTAGCACGGGCGAAAGCCAAAGTTGAAATGATGTGTTCTGGCAGGCATGTGTTTCCTGCTAGTCATCTGACAGGCTGCGGCACCCACCCCCTCTTGCTGCTCATGGCAGTGATCCATAACCTGCCCGGCTCTCCCAGCACGCTCCGTGGGATGGAGCCTCCGCTCTCAAATATGCTGCTCTAATGAAAAAGAATGACTGAGGTGACAAGTGCAATAAACCTCATCCATCCCGGCTCTGCAAAGCTCTCCTGCCCTGCCCCTCCGTGGTCTAATGCACGAGCTTACAGGAGTTCCAGTCCCCGGGGATCTAAAACGGCAGGGATCCTGGTCTTGTGACTTTGAGATTAGGCGACAGCGTCTCTCGTCCCACTTCCACCATCCACTGGGGGGCTGTCATACGATGTTGGGGGCAAAGGATCAAGTTTCGAGCTACATCCCCTGATTTAGATGAGACTGTAAAGCTGCACTGCAAAGGACTTGAATCCAGGCCCCAAGTGATGCTCAGATTAGGGGACCCCGGGGCTGTTCAGGTTTTCCCCACCCAGAGCACATCATCTAATGCTCAGGGACGTGCTTCATTGCTGCCCAGTTATGTTTATCAACCATCTAGGAAAGGGATGCTGGTCTTCCTATTTGTAAACGAATAGAGTTTTGGCTGAGGAGCACCAAGCTCTTTCTCTTAAAAGGTTCTCTTCTTCAACCTTTCGCTTTTCCACCAGCTACTTTTGAATATAAATTAAGATATTCTATTTAAAATGACAGAAACACCAGTTCAACTAGGGAACGCCTTCCCATTGCTCCTCACGGTGTATCTGAACTTCGCACCTCAAGGCCTCCACACTCCAGCCTCAGGGTGGAGATGGGGCCCCGCCCCACCCCAGGGAGAAATAATGTCCTTTCATGCATCTTCTCCCCTTCCTTTGGAAAAGTCTCTGCTGTTGAAGGACTAGAACAATACAGCTAGGCTGACCGCTTGCTTTTAGCACGGTGGGAAGAGCAATGCCACCCCGGATCCGAGGTACCCACTCCCCCTGAGTGTTCATCCTTCTCGTTCTCACTGTGCCCCTTGCTCGGTCTCTCAGTCTGGACTTCGCTCTCCTCTCTGCCTTACTGAGCTGTCCTCATTCTTTAAGACCCATCACAAATAAGCTCTGCACAGACGCCACCTCTGGATTTGTAGGCAAAGTGGAGAGAGGAAATGCAGCCACTGCATCAGCAGAGCAGATCAATCCCATTCTTGGTGTGTCTATGGAGTAAAGCAAAGAAAATAACCAAACATTCATGACCATGGAAAATTCAATCCCAAGCTTCTCTTTTTCTAAATAATGCCTCTAAATATTAGGTTATTGTATATTCTGTTTCAAAACAACAGAGAATCATTTCAGGACCTAGTCTGGCAAAGCCTATTGACTTAGGATGAATGTTAAAATATTTGCATTTTGACCAAGTGTTTGGTACACAGATCCATAAGTTAACTAGGCCAACGGGGCTGTTTACATGATTAATTCCAACTGGCCAATAACACAGGGGTTCAGTATACACAGGCATTAACAATGTTTCTATATTAAGAAATATAGATAGTAGCCAAATTGAGAACTTTCATAATCCTTCTGTGTTCAGTCCTTTACTTCAAGTGGCTGGTTTTCCTCTCTGCCCTTTCCGTTGTCCTTGGGCCAATTTCCCCTACCCTCAGGTTCTGTTTTTAAGAAATCCTTACAGGAAAACTTTTTTAAAAACCTCATAGGAATCAGGCCTGCTTATCCCAAACAGACACCGTGCGTTATTCTGCCGCTGAGACGGAACAACGGTCTTCCCGCCTGCCTTGTCTGCAGGCAAGGACAGGGGTGACCCCCGCAGCCCTGGCAACGCGCCTGTCACTCACTTTGTAAGCAGTTATTCCTGAACTAGCCAATTATTCTGGCTGGACATGTTTATCCTCCCCTAGGGCCACCTTGAAAGCTTACTTTTTGTTCCATTTAGAAATGTTTAGTTTATTTGTACATTTTAAAGACATTTTTCCAGTTGTGATACTACCTAGAACACAGCTCCAAAATGAAGAGGGTATCCTTTCTTTGCAATGGTGGGAGACTCAGGTCTCAGAGAAGTAGAGATAATCAAAGGGGAGGAAGAACGTCCTCCGACACCTCGGCACCTCCAGGCTCTGCGTGTGAAGGGGCAAGAGAACACTTGCCTGGCACTGGAGGAGGTGGTGAAGGGAGCCGCACACTGGGTGCTGCTGCCCAGGCTGTGAGACCCTCAGGAAGGCATCAGGCGGTTGTGCTGCTGCCAAAGAAGCGCCACCTTAGGTGGAGGGTGCTCCCAGGCAACATGTGCCAACTGGAGGAGGAACGGGAGCAAAATGAATCATGGTGCGAAAGTACATGTCAGCCCACGTATGCGGCGTGCACACATTAATAATAAAAAACTATTCGATGTAAACAAAGTCTCTCAAATTATGAGGTAAAGGTGCTAACTACTTCTTAATTAATATGTTTCCTAGAAACAATTTCAAGGCTCTCACGAGGCCTTTAGGCCTATAGCTATTCACAGAATATCAGATACTGCATATTGTTTGAAGCTTTTCTTAAATAGAGAAATGAACATAGGGGAAGGATTTAAAGTCCCAGGGACACTAAGGAATTCACGACTGGGAATTAGAGGAAAGTCTAGACTTATTTTTCCATCCCCTCAAGCTGGTAATGTAGATGTACATTACCTTATGTATACTATTCATTTATTCATTTATGTGTAGAGTGAATGAATGAATGAATGAATGAATGAATGAAGTAGTCCACACCTCCAGGGTTCCAGGTACCCATGGGTAAATGAACTCTCAATTAGAATTGGAAACACAGCAACTAGTATCTTTTATTTTGACAAACAAAAACTCTAACCACACTAAACAGATAGATTAAATAACAAAAATCTCCACAACTTTTAATCAAATTTCTGGGGGAAACCATGAAAAATATGTTTTTTCTTATGTCAAGGAAAGGTTGTCCACTAACTCCCACAATATTAGTCACTGGGCATGGTGCAAGTCACTCTACGCCTTTCACTGATTATGTGATCTTAGATCTCTCTTGCTTCATCTTCAAACAGGAGATTCTCTGCGGTACTTTTAGCTTCAGTGAGCTATAGTTCAGTATGTGTGAGGTGAATCTGCTAAGCCCAGTGATGGAATTCAAGTGTGAGTATGGTCCCTGTCCTGGAGGAGATTATATCTTCCCTACGATTCAAAAGACATACGACAGAAAATACAACCAACGAAACAGGGAAGACCATGATAAGTTCCAAACAAGAGGTTACCTACTAAAGGTCATGGGAGCTCAGAGGACAAGAAGTTCCGTTGGAGCTGGAAAGGTCAGAAAGGGCTTGCACTGGTGAGATCAGACACGCAGAGCAGGGAGGAGGCATTCCAGTCGGAGAGACTGTGAGAGAGCAAGAACACCAACCAGGAAAGCCAGTGTAGAGAACCTGGGGGGGGGGGGGGGCGCGTGAATCTAGGACTTCTCTGGCATGGCAACAGAGACAAACATTCAGATCAGTAAACCATTATCTCAGAGTGCCAGGAGTGTCGGCACTTTTGCCCCATTCCTATTCCAGCCCAGCGACTCGCTGGAGGCCTGCGTTCAGCGCTTGCTGAATAGGCCCGGAATCACCTGGGCATTGGAACGTGCGATTGTCAACTGTGGAAAAAAGGAGTGTTGAAGCCCATGTTTACACAATCTTTTCATTTCTATATTAGAATAGCATGAGCTAGGAGAGCCCTCCATGATTTTTTTTTCTTTAAGCCGATTTCTAGTTATCCAGGGGTATGGTGTCACTGTACAAGTAGCACCTTGTCCTTTCTTCTCTTTCAGCGTCCACCTACAGAGACCTGACGTAAACGCACATCAGCCTGACCTCGACTCGCACCCTCCCGTGCATCTTACCTTTGTTTAACTGCAGGTACTAAGGCAGACTTCATCACCTTTTCATAATTGGTCTGGGACTTGTTTTTCCATTCTCAATTAACTGCTACTCTTCAGTTGGGAAAGAAATTGAGGGGACATAGGCTTGAGCACATACACTAGGCTTATAATGTGAAATAACAGCCAGAAGGGAATCGAAGGACTGGCTCCGATAACGTTTGTTGAGGTAGCTCTGAGAAGCTAAGTAATATTTGCAGAGAGGTTAGGTAAACGAAGGGAGATTGGATCCATTCTTGGGCTCACTGATGGCTGTTCCCTGAAAGGTCGTTCCTGTGTGGTTTGCTTCATTATTATAGCATGTCAAATGACTCGGGGAGTCATTCTTAATTATAAAATATCAGCATTAACTTTTTTCCCCTTGAAGTAAGAATAATTCACCAGAAAGCAGAAAATGGTGACAATCCAATTCACTTTGGACAGCCACGTGAGTGATTCTGTTCTGGGTGGCCAGATGGTTTGTAAATGGAACTTTTTTCCAAATGATGATGATCATGATGTTAAAGAGGAGAAGGAAGGAGACATTGCCAAGCACATCTTTAACTGAAATGATGATTCTCCCGTAACTGAGAGTCCTCCAGTGGGGTTCACTGGGGAAAATCCACCTTCTCCTGGGACCCAATCATTTTTACTTTCTACACCAGTCATCTAATTAGCTACAGAAGACGTTGTTGCCTAGATCACAAAACCCAAAACACTATTTCAAACTCTCATCTTAGAGGAGGGGAAGTTCAACATACAGAATTTTAAAGGCCTAGGTGGCAGATGCAGAAGGGGGTCATGCTAGATCATAGATATAATGGCAGTGTCAGCTGAAATGATCTGCATCTGATTTGGATGTAGCAAAGTGTCATGGAAACACTTCCTGGCTGCTAAAACAGCTAAGCAAATGCGTTGGAAGAAGTGTACA